CATTCATTCATTCCCTCATTCATTCATTCATTCATCTTCCATCCTTGTCGTCGTCATCGTCATCCTCATCCTCATCCTCATCGTCATCATCAACGTCACCGATGACATCATCAACCATCATCATCATCATTCTTCTTTTCCTTTTTTCCTCCTTCTTGATAATTTTCGTTCGTTCGTAGAATAAAGTTTTTTTATTTTTTTTAAGATAATGAGAGAGAGAGAGAGAGAGAGAGAAAGATGGAAAATGAAACAAATTGTATAACAATTTATTTATTTTAATAAAATCTTTCTCAGTGATCGTCTACGAGTAATTTTTTAGCTTCTTTATAAACCCAATGTTCTTCGATGGGTGCCATTACGATGATGACGATTAAAACGGCCGTTAATATTAATATAACCGTTAAATAAATGGCTAATAAAAATCTACGTAGATAAGAATGCTGGAAAATATTATCAATAATAATAATAATAACCATCGAGCTCGTAAATATAAATAAATAATTGATGACTACTCACTGGTGCGTCACGTTTTCTGTCCAACATGTGTAATGGAGTTCTTGCAGATGCCATATCTTTCATTGGAAAATCATTAACTCTTTTTTCCATTTGTCCATCGCTAAAGCATCCGATCATCTGTCGATTAACGAAATAAAATTTAAACTCGTCAAAGAATAACTTTACGACAAACAAAATGAAAATGAAAATTTAAACAAACCGAAAACAAAAGATGCATTAAAACTTGAAAAGCAACGTATGCCACAAGAATCCAATCCATCCATTCTGGCAATCTGGCTTTGTTTAATTTTACGGCAAAAAATATCGTTACGACTGGAAAGAAAAATGGGGGGCAATGAAAAATCGTATACAGGAAACGTCATAAAATCATATGTGATTTACTATTACTACGTACTTGCTAAAATGTGAGCGCAATTTCCAACGAGCCAATGTAACCAATTGAAAATTGGTCTTTTGGGAGAGTCTGGGCTAGGCCTCAAAGCCGCTCCAAAAGGTTGAATGAATGCAAGGCCGGTCGTGATGCATCCTAATATGGCATGCGGATTACTTGTTTCGCTGTACCAACCTTGAATTTCTACGAAAATCATTACAAAAGCAGCAATTGTAAGTGACCACGTCGATACCATAAATGCTCTATGCCACTGAAAACAAAAAAAAAAAAGAGTCAATTTCCTGGACTCACGTGAAAGAAAAAAAAAGAAAAGAAAAACAAGAAACTAACGATAAACCATTGATCTTTTCCGCAAAATCTTTTTCCGACCCATGTCATTTTAAAGTATCGTGCCAAAAGAATTCCAGCACTGGTAAAACCGATCCAAGAAGCAACCATGAATGCTCCGTGAAGACGATAAAGAAGATCGGAACTACCGGAAAGTGAGCCTACTTCCGATAAGTACCTTAAACTATCCGATGATTGATACCCGATGTCATGCCATCCGACTCTTTGCCCATTATCTGGTTCAAAAAAAAATTTATTTAAAAATTTTTTTAAAGGGGATAGACATCGGCTGGAAAATAAAATAAACTCTACAGTAAAAAGTTTCCAATTTTCATCAACAGATGACGCTGCGTGAGCTTTTTACCTTCCTTTCCCTATGAGTAAAAAAAGGTTGTTTTTCCCCCTCTTAAAACTATTATATTATATTATTAATTTAAATTTTCAAAAATTTTAAACCTTTTAATGAAGTTCCCGATGCCAAAAGAAGGTAATATTTTTCCTGTACCAGATCGTATTCTTTTCCTTTGACCGTCGTCACCGGGTCTCTGGTAAATTTACAATAAATGGATCCATCTGAGTATTTAGAATGTCTTAAAGAAACTTTGTCGCTTAAATTATTTAATCTTTCATTGCCTTTTTTTCCCTCAATGTTGCTCGACATGTAAACATTAACTTTACTAGGATTATCCACAACGCATTCCATAACGCTGTCACCACCCTGTCACAAAACAAGTTCAAAGCTGTAAATTTAAAAGGAAAAAAAAAAAAGAAAGAAGGTACTAGAATATATAACTCACCATTTTTTGATCATCTGATAAACCTAAAGCAACATATTTAGGTGAACCTTTCGAACTGTTTTTCGCCATCAATTCAAATTCAAAATTATCACCTTTCACAAAGGTTGTTGCCAAAACCGTGCACGATTTACTATCGACGCAACCATCAGGAATACCAAAACAACTTTTTATGCTTCCGCAACCATCGTAAATCGGTTCTGATTTTTCTCCATTCTGGAAAAAGGTAAAAATTTATAAAGAAATTTAAAAAAAAAAATTAAAAAAAGAAATTTCCTTTAGATTTTACCTTTGTTTCCGGTTTGAGAGTGTAATTTGGAATCGTTGTTAATCTTACGGGAGTTTTAGTCGTTGAAATTCCACCTTGAAAATCATTATTATTTACCGGAAGTGATCTTTTGACGACTGTTACTGGTTGAGATTCGACTCCTACCCAAAAAGTGGCACCATTTTGCACAAAGGTCGCACTGAAAAAAAATTATGAGAGAAAATTATTACCACCATTACTTTCCTCGTTGGAAAGAGGGGGGAAGTGGAGGGGAAAGGGTAAATACTTACTTAAAAACGACGGGACCTTCGTAAAAAGATGGCGCCTCCCATTCAAGCTCTAAATTTTTAAGTTTGTTTCGATCTTTATGCGTGGCTGTGCTCTAAATAAAAATCATCATCATTATTAATAAATTTATTTTTTATTAAAAATTAATAATTTTTTATTTAAAAAAAAATAATTTCAACTCTCACCAACGGACTCGGACCGCAAGTTATGGCTTTTGTTGTTTCTGGTAAATTTAAAAAACCTCCGAGAGGTTCACCGGGCATTTTCGGTGATCTCGCTTGCATCATGAATCCAATAAATTCGGCATCTTCTTGAGATGATAACATTATCTTTAACTTATCACCGGCTTTGACAGACAGAGTAGCCGGTTGAAGGAAATATGGCGACGAACTTGTTTGTGGTACAAAATTCAAATGTCGAGGCACCATGTCTTCGCAAGTGGATATAGGTGCACCACTCGGATAGGTGCCAACATTATTTATGCAACCCCACAAAATTAATAGTAAACTACTTGAAAAAATCTTCCACCGAGACATGTTTCCCACCCTTAAAAAAAAAAAAAAAAAAAAACAATTATTATCATCATCATTATCATCTTAATTTTTCTTATAATAACGACTTGTAAATTCGATCTATACTCTCATTAGTTCTCAAAAAGAGAGAGAGAGAGAGAGGAAAAAAATTCTCATAACTATTATTAATCATCAACAACCTATTTATATATAAATATTAATAACAATTATTAATTATTAACAAATTATGTATGTTATTAATCGTGTTATTATTATTATTATTATTATTCTATGGATGTAGTTCAAATTTTGTAATTTATTTAAAAAAATTATGCAATTTGTGACTGTAAAAAGAAATGTTCGTAAGCTAAACATTAATAGACGAATTTAAGTTTTCACGTGATTATATATACATATTAAATATTTTATACGTTTTTCCGTCCTTGAATATCATAAGGAAAAATATTCAATCAAAAACGATATCGATGTCACATTACCTTGTACTACAACTACAACTACTACTACTATTACAGGTACGTAGGTACGTACAAATCATTGGCCGACTTTCATTTAAAAAAAAAAAACTGACGCAATTTTTTTTTTTTTGGCCGACATGTTAACGCGATCGTAACAGTCAGGAAGGCTTTCTTTTAATTTT